AAAACCCCTGTACAACAAATATATATTAATAAAAATGACATTTAAAAAAAAGAAAAGGAGATCCTGATATCTTTTTCTTACCATAACTCTGCCATTCTTACTAAAATCTTGAGAGGTCCACTAAATCCATAAACATTCTCCATTACTGAGTGGCACTTTTTAAATAACTGCAGTTATATAATATTTCCTTTTTTTTTCTTTTTCATTTATAAAGAAATAGATGCATCAGCAGCAAGTTATTAGCAAAAACCATGTTAATTTTGTGACTTTGTTATTAAGTGATTTTAGAAACAGCTCTAGTACCCCATATTTTCAAGATTTGTGCTCCTATTGTACATAGGACATTTCAAATTTATATGAGATCTTTTAATTTTTCTCTATCATTATTACACTAATTCAGTGCTTGGGTTTTGACTTGGATATGAATTATTTCCATTCTTTCATTCTCTATAATATTGGTCACAGAGTGAAAATAATGTAGCAATGAATAGAATTTTCATTTGGTTCATGGAATTCATTTTTATTTTAACTAGTTCTGAAATTTATATTGACTGCAATTGCTAAATATAATTGTGAGAGTGGAAAAACTAGGTTTATTCAAAATTTTTGTTAAGTTTACTACTTTATAATACATTGTTTATAAAAACGCTTATATTTTAATATTTCATGATGTGATTCTAAAAGTCTGTTTGCAATCTACATAGACTCTTTCCCATCACTAGAGCTTGTTAAAAGGTACTCACCACCTATAGGTCCCATTGTCAGGTCCATCTGGCCTCAAGAATAAAGGAAGAGGAAAGAGGAAGTGGAACAAGCTAGGCCAGTTTGGAAATAAATCTAAAAATAATAATGCTTTTGACATAGGACTTTATTTTGTTTTGAAATAATAAAAAGTAGAGTGAGATGGCAAAATAAATTCTTAAGATGACCAGTCTCCTTCTACTTTTAAGGAAGATAGATCTTGAGGACTACTTTTTCACGTTTTGAGGGGACAGGAATGAGAGAGGATGAATGCTGTGGATCTGGAAAACTAAATTGCTCTACGTAGAAAAACACAGAAGGAATTCACACTAAAAACATAAAATCTGGAAACCAGTACATCAGTATTTTCCAACTTCTAGGACTAGGAGTGGCTAGTCACTTAACCAGCTGGGCATGGTGATATATACCTGTAATCCTAGCTTTGCAGGAGGTGGAGATGGATCACTATTTGAAGCCAGCCCAAACAAAAAAACAAAAAAAAAGTTAGAGAAACCCTATCTCAAAAAAAAAGAAGAAAGAAAGAAAGAAGGAAAAAAGTTGTACATGGTGGTACACACCTGTAATCCCAGCTATGCACAAGGCAGAGATAAAAGGATCATGATCCAAGGCTGGCCCCATTTTGGGGGGAGACCCTACCTGAAAAATAAACTAAAGCAAAAAGGACTGGGAGCATGACTAAAATGATGTAGCACTTGCCATTCCCCTGCCAAAAAGTTTGACCCTTGGTTTTTAATACAAGTATTTGGCTACTATGAGCCCCTCCCAACTTCACTTTTCTCTATTTATGTACTTTGGACCCAAAATTTCTAATTCCTGGTCCTATTTGCTATTTCTGATTCATGCTTTTACACACATCTTCTGGAAATTAGTCCTGTTCTCAATTGTGTAACTATGTCAAGATAACCATGAATTCTACTTCACCACTATCGGTGTCAGGAGATGCTGTGATGAAGCATATTTGAGTTTCCATTATGGCAGGCAGAGGCAGCAAGAAGAAACTCATGAGCTGTCCTAATGATGTGAAGTGTGTCTTATTTTCCTTTTTTTCTGACTCTGTGCAGAGCACTGGGCTCAGTGAACACTCAGTGATACATATCAAGTGCTCAGGACATGATAAACAAGACCTAACTACAAGTGATTATTGTTTGCCCCTTGAGGGAAAAAAAATGACAAAACTCTTAAGAAAGAAAATTGGGTTATAATACATATGTACAGTGAAATGTCACAATGAAACTCCCTGTGTAGATATCATAAACAAACAAAAATGTCTTTCTCAAAAACAGAGAACAAGAAGGTCCTGTCGAGGGGCTGGTACCAGTGGGAGGGGTATATAAGGAAAGGGTGTAGGAGGGTGAATATGGTGGGAATATTATGTACTCGTGTATGTAAATGAAAAAATGAGATCTGTTGAAACTATTCTTAGAGGGTGGAGGGAGGGTAAAGGAGAATGATGGAGGGGTGAATTTAAGAAAATATTGTAAGAAGTTGTGTAAATGTCACAATGTACCCTTAATATAACAGTAATATGACTAAAAAAAATAAATAAAAGCAGTGAATAATCATACAAAAAAAAAAGAAAATATAAACATAAGAAGACCATAGTGGTCCTAAGAGAAAACATAGTCTCGGGGATTTTGACCAGAGGAGGAAGGAAGACCAATATATCTACAGGTGTCTGTAGAGAGACAGGTTTGGAAGAGGTGAGAGAAAAGACATCTAGAACCTTCTGTAGAGGTGGGAACTGGAGGAGAATAGTGATGTTTAATAGAATCCTCAGGAAATGCAGGTGGCGAGTACACACTGTTGCCTCCCTACATTCTTCCAAAGTCACCTTCAGCCTCTTCAATGTTTGTAGAGTGAGATTTGGTGGACTGGGAAACTACTGATTCTGTGCTCACCTTAATGCTCAGAAGGCACACTTTTACTCAGCTTGCACAAGCATTTATGTAAAAAGCTTCTTGGGAAATAGACTCAAGCAAAATTCTCCCTGCACCCCTGAGGAGACTTTCATGATAAAAGGGTAATATTTGGAGCTATCTGGATCTATCTTAGAAAAAAAAGAAAGAAAGAAAGAAACAAAACCCAGGTGCTGTGAGTTTTGGGTTAGACTACCTGCTGTGCTTCCAGTTGCTCCAAGGTCTGAAAACAGCCTTTCATCTGTCCCCTTTCATTGCAACTGCACCAAAACCGGCCCTCCTGTGCCACCACACAACCTCACCGTGTCTAGCTTCCCCCTCTCTTCCCTCAAAATAATTTATCTTTTGAACCCACAAGAAGACACACCTTGAACCTGACATTCAAGCACCTACAATCTTGAGAGAGATTTTGATATGCTGCTGGACTTTACTTACTGCCTGAGGATCCTAGGCATGGAAAGAATTTAAGCAAAAGTATTGAGGATGGTTCTTTTTTATTTTTCCCCAAATTCTTTCAGAGTAGATGTGACAGACCCAACTCCATGGGAACCCACACTGAGTCTAAGGTAGTTTACTCCAGAGTGTTTCTATGTGAGGGACTGAAGGAAGTCAGTTTGGACAAAAAGAGATGCTTGCTGAACTGGAATGCAGTTGTAGTGGGCTTTACTTGATCCTGCAGGGTCTGTCACAGATGAACTGCACTAAGACAAGGAGCTTGGCACTCACACCAGCATCCAGTCACGGTTTGAGCATCCTGTCCTTGGGGCAGGGAGTTTGACCTAAGGCAAGGCAGCTCCTCTTAGCCAGGGCAATTCTTTGGGGGGTCGGGGCAACTTCTTGGCCATCATCGGCCTGCATACAGCACTCCCTAAGCCTGGGGGAAAGAAGCTGTAGGTCTCCTTCCTGAAAGTGAAGAGATTGAGATGGAGGTTGGGGGAGGAGGTGTCCTGGGGGACGCTCATGGCATGCACTTACACCCTCTGCCTGCACTGTGATGGATAGGACAAGGGACACTGCGATGGGAACAAAATCAGCATTCTGCCTGCACCTCAAAATACAATATGACTTATTTCAGGGTATTTCAGACTGCTTTTAATAATTATGCAAGAATTTCTTTCAGTTTGGAGGTTTTATGCATTAGAACACTTTTTTTTAGTAATTTTTAAAATATTTTTGACCTCCTGTTGGCTCTTTAATTTTGTATGCTATTATTGCAAAGTACAATATTTAAATAGAGATGGAAATAGTACTTTCTCTAGAAATCATTATTTTATGCAGTAGAGTAGAATATTGCGCTATGTAATCTGAGAAATCTATATCAATTTATAGATCGAAAGATAGACATAATTAAAGTCCTATGAAGAAGAATAAATATAAGGGGACAGAGGCAAGTTGTCATGGCAACAAAATCCTGATTTTTTTCCTCAATGTATAACCAGGAAAGTATTAACCTTTATGACACCTTAATATTTTTGCTACATTGTATTTTAACCAATGTACATTGTGTATATTATTATGGTAAATTTTTAGCTATGCCATTCATTCTTGGGAGTTAGTTTCTTAATTATGTTTAAAAGAATTTTTTAAAACTGGCATTATGAAATGAAATATGTTTTGCAAGATTTCACTTCAACAATTTTAAAGGTTCATTCTCCCGTTTTTGTAATTTAAAACAGTCCAGGCTTATAGATTAGGAATGGCCAACCACAGCGTCAGCATTTCCAAATTATCTTTCCAGCTTCTTTCCTTAAAAAAAAAAAGTAAATTTATTTATAAAAATGGGCTAAGCAAAGTTGCTCATACCTGTAATTCCAGCTACTTGGGAGAGACTGAGAGGATCATAGTTTGAGGACATCCTGTGGGAAAATATTTAGCAAGACCCCCATTTCAACAAACAAGCTGGATGTGGTGGTACACAGACATATTCCCAGCTATGTGGGAGGCATAAGTAAGAAGATCGCCTTTCAAGACTGGCTCTGGGCAAAAATGCAAGACCCTATACAAAAAACTAACTAAAACAAAAAGGTGCATGGCTAAAATGGTGGAGCACCTGCCTAGCAAGTGTGAGGCCCTGAGTTCAAACTCCAGTACTGACAAAAAATTAGACACTCTATTTAATGTCTCATAATTTGCATTTTATACCTAACACTCCCAGATTTTTTTAGTTGGTAGATATTTATCTATAATTTTAATAATATCACTTTATAGATTACCATACTTAAGAAATCTCTATTAATTTCTGGTACTTCTAATATTATAAACTTACTAATAAATCTTTATATTAAATAATACATCACAGATTAATTTTTTTTTAAATCCTAGAATAAGAATGAGTCCTTCTAAAATCTTGAAGGAACTAGAAATAGAAGTGGAAAAACAAAGATTGTGGTATGTCTTATTACTTTGGGATCCAGCAAGTATTTTTCTAATCTATCCTTTCTTCCAATTATCCAGCTCCTTGTACTCTCACATTCACTATCTCTATTTAGCTAAATGCTAAATGAATATGTTATTTCATTGCTATTTTATTTTCAGGGTTTTTTTGATAGCTTGTGGAATTAAACATTTTCATATTTTTGTTTGTATCAAGGAGGAAGATTTGTTTTCTTTCTTTGGAAATTACTGTTACATTCTCTGTGTTGAACTTTGTTTAAGAAGAGAATTTATTTTTTATCCAATAATATTTTTAATATATTTCAGGATGCTAAAATTCTACTCTAACCAACTAAATGACTATACTTGTAAAATTAAGCAATATGTTTGCTATTAGAAGATAATTTGTGTTTTCTATCTACTGATAGATAGATGCAAAAGAAAATCATAAATACTTCTCTAGTGCTGATTTAATTATTTAATAATACTTACATAGTATTGTTAGACTTGAGCAACAGAAGGAGCCTTGGATCAGACAAAGTCCATAAAATTGAAGGCTTAAAAAAGAAAACTAAGCTTGGTGTGGGTGTTCATACCTGTAATTCTAGCTACTTGGGAGACTGAGATCGGGAGTATTACAGTTTGAGACCAGCCCAGGGAAACAGTTCATGAGATCCCCATCTCAACCAATAGTTGGGTGTGGTGTCACGTGTATGTCATCCCAAGCTGTGTGGAAAAGCACAAATAGGAGGATCCCGGTCCAGGCGGCTGGGGCATCTCCAAAATAACCAGAGCAAAAAGGGCCAGTGGTATGGCTTAAGTGATAGCGTACCTGCAGAGCAAGTGCAAAGACCTGAATTCAAACCCCTGTACCTCCAAAAAGAGAGAACAAAGTTGTGTGTGTATTCATTCCAGCAATGCTCTCCTTCTAGAAGAACCAAATCTCTTCATTGTGGTTAAGATTTTAATAATTCCATGCATGTAAATTTATTCTACTTTCACTAAATATGTAAGTATGCATAATTAATTCTCAAAAGGTTTGTACTCTACAAAAATCCTTTATGTGTTTGCTAGTTATCTCCACTTCTTTGAAAATCACAGGGTCTTTAGCTGCTCATTGGATGTTAATTGTGACTGTGATATTCCTCTTGCCAAGGCTTTTTACATTGATCTGCTTCTGCCCCTTCTCATCAGCACAGTCTGAAATCTTAAGTCATACAGTAAAATTATAAAGTCAAAAATATTTTTGATCACAGATATGAGCTTATTTCTACTCCTTTAGAATACTTTCCTTACACAAATGTAAATTCATATAGCACTTCACAGTGCTATCCTGAGAAAAACCTAGGAAGGGTGAGGTTTGGTTCTTCACACTTCAGAGGTGTATAAATTAAGAAATCAAATCCCTTATTAAAATTCATTCAGTGACTGAAAAGAACCAGGACTGATGTCTTCCAAATTCAAGGTCAAGAGGTTTATTTACTACTTTAGAATTAACTGGTTTTAGTAGTTTGGAGTTAAACACTTTAAATGACTGAATAAATTAATTTAATAATTCAATAAGATAATGAAACAAGATAAAATAGACAGTTCCTGTTTTATCATCAGTGTCTTGATATATATATCAAATAGACAGTTCCTGTTTTATCATCAGTGTCTTGATATATATATCTAATCATGTCACATTTATAGTAACAAAAAGAAAGTCACCTAGCAACACAAGTGAATTATTGATCAGAGTATTGTCTACAGTAAATGTCAAAGAAAAAAAAAATGACCAGGAGGAAAACTCAAATGAAATTCAAGAACCATTTTGCATATAATGTTCATGATGGTTTAGACTGTCAATGTCATAATAATACTGTTTATAACCATTTTAAAAACCACTATCATTTATCAACATTTCCAATACAAATATCTTCCCTGCTTTTTGCTTTTAGAAAATACAAGATGTTTATAGTAGAGAGCATGTATATTTTCATCTATTGTTTCCTACACATTTCAGTAAGGTATGGGTTAGAAGTTAAATCTACACAAAACTTGGCCTACATAAAGAACCAATAGATTTGATAGTTTACATGGCATCGTTAGGTGAGAATGCTATTCAGTAACTACATCTGGTCTTACCTTCTGGGAAAGAACTCTCCACTCACTGTAGTCCCATAAATATTTCATGAAGCAACATAAAGTAATATGCTAATGATCGACTGTTTACCCAGAGAGCAGGTGCAACCTCTGATGTTTTTTCATCTCTGGTCTGCCTTTGATACGGGGTCAGGTAAGCCATTTTGAATTGTTTTGCTTTGCTTCCCTCCCCTCACAGTTCCACCTGAACCTAAAATGGTAAGCGAGAGTCATCATGAGGCCCTGGCAGCCCCGCCAGTCACCACTGTTGCAACTGTTCTACCAAATAATGCCACAGAGCCAGCCAGTCCTGGGGAAGGGAAGGAAGATGCTTTCTCTAAACTGAAGGAGAAGTTTATGAATGAGCTGCATAAAATTCCATGTGAGTATCCTCTAGTGTGGCTTGAGTAGAAATAAAAGGCTGAAAATTACTTTATTCACTGGAAAAACAGCAGAGCTCTTAATATTCTATTTTTATGGTAGATTTTTCATGATAGCATTCCAATAATAAAATGGAATGATCTTGGAAATGAAAGGTTCTTATTATTGTCTTTAAGTATATTTTACAAATGAAAATCACACTTATTAAAATATCTGTATGTCATATTTAACGTAGGTAGATTTTTTTCTTTTTACATCTGTTTCAAGAATATTAATGCCTATAAGTTGTGCTACATATTTTTGTGCTATACATTTTGGATTTGCATCTATCAAATTATTCCATTGTAAAGATTATTCCCAAACTATTGGGAATATTTACTTTCCCACTATTGCAAGTTTGATTTTATTTCATTCATCAGTCAATATTTTAAATTTTTCTTTGTTGTCACCAAGAAAACAAAACCTATACCTAAATTTATTTGTACAAGTGTAGCACTGTGTCTGACTGGCGGCATTTATCTTCCTTAATTTTACTTTTTTACATTGACAGGTAAAATTGTTTTTACTGTGTACAACATAGTGTCTTGAAGTAAATACATTGTGGATTGACTGAATATTCACCATCTCACATAGTTATTTTTTATGCTGAGAACACCTTACATTCACTCTTTAGCACTTTTCAAGACTACAATACATTATTAACTATAGTCACTAATAGTAACTAATACACATAGTTACTAATACATTATTCACTCAAGTCACCATGTATACAATAGATCTCATGAACTTACTCTTCCTATCTAACTGAAATTCTATACCCTTTGAACATCATCCCAACCTGCCCTTTACCCTCTCAGCTACCAGTACCCTTTTCTGTGAGATTGAGTCTTTATTTCTTATTAAATTTATTTTTTCAGACTCATAAAACATATAAAGTACATATGACTAGAGTACCATTTAATGTTTCAATACATGTATATGTTATGTAATGTTAATGCAGGGCAAACATATCTATTTCCCTAAACATTTATCATTTCTTTTTTGGTAAAAGCTTTTTAAATCCTTTCTTCTAACTTTTGAAACATAAAGCACATTATGTTATCTATAGTAACCCTACTATACAGCAATATCTTGAATTTCTTGCTTCTACTTAACTGTAACTTTGAGATTACTGTTCAGCCTTTTCCCATCCCTCCCTCTTCTCTCCAGCCTCTGGTAAGTTATACCATTCTACTCTCAATTTCTATGAGATTAACATTTCTTGATTCCACCTATGAATGCGATCGTGCAGAATTTGTTCTTTCTGTGCCTGTCTTATTTGCTTAATATAACATCCTCTAAGTTGTAGAAAATAACAGGATATTCTTTTTTATGGCTGAATATTATCTCATGTATATACTGAATCATTATGCATTCCTCCTGGATAGAAACTAAGGTTGATTCCATATTTTGACTGCTGTGAATAGTGCTGCAATAAACATGGAGTAATATCTCTTTGACATACTGATTTCATTTCTTTTGGGTACACACCCAGTAGTAGGATTGATGGATTTATGGTAGATCTAGTTTTAATTTTTTAAGAACTGCCATATTGCTGTCCATAATGGCTATACTAATTTACATTCCCATTGTTATTGCTATTTATGCTTTTGGGGTCATAACCAAAAACTCATTGCCTAAGTCAATGTAATAGAGCTTTTTCCCTATATTTTCTTCAAGTAGTTTCATAATTTTGATTCTTAAATTTAAATCTTTAGTCCATTTAGAGTTGATTTTTGTATATAGTGTAAGAATTTCATTCTTCTGCTTATCTTATGGATACCCTGTTTTCCCAACACCATTTGTTGAAGATCATCCTTTCTCCATGGTGTACTCTTGGCTACTTTGTCAAAAAATTAGTTGGCTATGAATTTGTGGATTTATTTCTGGCTCTCTATTCTGTTCCATTGTTCTCTGTGTCTGTTTCTATGTTAGTGTCCTGATGTTTAGATTTCTACAGATTTATAGTTTACTTTGAAGTCAGTGTAATGTCTCTAACTTTGTACTTTTTGTTCAAGATTGCTTTAGTTATTCAGAGTTTTTGGTGGTTCCATCCATATTTTAAATTTTCTTCTGGTTTGTGATTAATGTCATTGATATGTTGCTAGTGCTTATGATGAATCTGTAGGTTACTTTGGATAGTAAGGACATTTTTGTGTTAATTTTTCCAATCCATGAACAAGGGATATCTTTCCATTTACTTAGGGTTTCTTCAATTTCTTTCATCAATGTTTTATCACTTTTAGTGTAGACACTTTTTACCTTTTTGGTTAAATTTATTCTGGAATATTTTCTTTTATAACTACTATAACTGAGATTTTTTAATTTCCTGTTTGGATAATTCACTGTTAGTGCATAGAAACACCATTGGTTTTTGCATATTGATTTTGTGGCATGTTACTTTACTGAGTTTATTTATTAGTTCTAACAGGTTTATTAATGGAATCTTTAGGGTTACATATATGATCACGCCATATGCAAATAAGGAATATTTTAACTTCTTCCTTTATAATTTGAATGCCTTTTGTTTCTTTTTCTTGCCAACTTACTCTGTCTAGGACCTCCAGTACTATATTGAATAAGAATGGGCACTCTTGCATTCTGGGTCATAAAGGAAATATTTTCAACTTTTCCCTATTGAATATGATGCTAGCTGTGGGTTAGTGTTGAGGTATATTCCTTTTATGCCTGATTTATTGAGTTTTTTATCCTTGAATGTTCAATTATGTCATATGCTTTTTCTCCATCTCTTGAAAAAATCATACTGTTGTTTTTTTCCTTCATTCTGTTCATGAGATGCACTACATTTATTGATTTACCTATGTGGGACCATTGTTGCCTCCCTGGAATTAAATCTAATTCATCAAGGCAAATGATCTTTATTTATGCCGCTAAATTCAGTTGGCTAGTATTGTGTTTGAGAGCTTTTGCATGTGTGTCCATCACGGGTATTAGTGTGCAATATTCTTTTTTGCTAGCAACTTTGCTTGGCTTTGATACCAAGATGACGACAGCCTTGTAAAATGAGTTCAGAAGTGTTCCCTCCTCTGTAATTTTTTGAAGAGTTTGAGAATTGGTGTGCCTTTCACTTTAAATGTTTGATTGAATTCAACAGTGATGACTGATTCATGTTTCCATGGTTGTTCTTGATCCTTGTGGTAGTGTATCTATGTCTGTGTGTTTGAAGTGGATGGTACCTATTTCTACTTCACAGACTGGCTTTTTCTGGCAAAGTTCTGTGACAGATGCAATGCTGGGGTGTAACAGAAGTTCATAGAGGTTGTGGCTGGCACAATGTTGTCAGAAGCCTGGGCCCCAATGACTACTGTGTCCCTGGGTCATTGAAACCAGGGGCTGCTGAGAGCTGTCTGCAGCTTGAAGCCACCAACATTTACCAGGCAGTCATGCATTTCAAAGATTGTGTCTGCTACACAAGCCTGAAGCCTGGGACTATGTGGTCCCATCTGGTGCTGGAGCAGATTGGAACCTTGGTCCACAACTACTGGCCTGGAATATGGGGCAACAGAGATCTTCACAATATTGGATCTTAGTGCAGTGGAGTCCAAGTTAAGTCCTGTGCTCACTTTCATCTCTTTCTTACACACGGATAGTATCTCTGTCCACACTGTGGAGCCTAGATTTGAAACAGTGGTGATGCAGGCGATGTAAAACTGTCCTTCCTGCCCTCTTCATTGAGTCTTGTCTTAATATTCTGCTACAACCCAGTACTGTGTTCTCTTTTGTGGTTTCCTTAGCCCTTATAAAGGTATTTTCATGTGTGAATAGTTGTTCAAACTGATATTTCTGCGGGGAGGATGGGTATGAACAGTAGAGTCTTATTCTGCCATCTTGTTCTATCCCAATGCTGAACATGTTTAATTTGAATCTTAAACTACAGGCTGTTCTTTTTTGTCAGGTTTGAACACTTTCTATGAACTACATACTTTTCAAATGCTGGGAACAAAAGTTTGAGATCTCACAGTATTTATATTTTAGCAGGAGAAAAAGTAGGAAATCAATAAAGAAGCAAATACATAGTGGCCATGTGATGATAAATGACATATGGAAAAATTTAAGAAAATAAATGGACTAGGGAAAGTGGTAAAGGGTAGGAATGGTTATCTTTAGGATTATCAGGACTGGTTTCCTTAATTAAAAGACCTGAAGGAAGTAAAAGAGAAAGCTATCATAATGTCTGATGAATAGGACAAAGTCCCTTAGGCAGAAGTCTGTCTAGAATATCAAGAAATTCAGTGTAGCTTAAGCAGAATGAGCTGCAGGATGAATTTTTATGTAGTAGAAGCCATATCATATAGGGTCTTATGGATTGTTCTAAGGAACTTGGATTTTACCCAGTGAAATAATATACCTTTTTGAGCATTATTATGCAGAGATGTCCCTTGATCTATGTAGGTTTTTAAAACATCATTCTTACTATAATACTGAAAATGGCTTATAGAGGGGCAAGGAGAAAGAATAAAGTAGCCTGTTGCAATAATCTTGATGGGAGATTTATACAATTTTTTTAAAAATTATTCTATAAGGATACTGAATAACTAAATGAATAAATATGAAGAGTCAATTTCTTATGCCTCAGTGGTTAGGAACTTGTTGATTTGTCTATCCATGGTTAACAAATTCAAGTACATCTGAGATACACTCTTAGCATAGTTGTCAATAATTCCCATTCTCAACAGGAAGATCCATAGTGGAGAAAAGATAGGGATGGCCCAATAGGTCAAGCCCTGGGATAAGAACCTCTGTGCTCTACTGCTGAGCTAATGGACTAATAAACTCCAAGTACTTTTGATATAAATTTGAGGTTATTGCTACCAAGTAGTAACCAAATATATATATTATGGGTATAAACTGTCAATTAAAATGTTATCAAAATATTTGCTTTAAGAGAAATATGTTGTAGGAATGTAACACTCACTCATCTTTAGGTCTTTATCCAATGTC